CGTAACTGAAACAGCGCATGGATTAAGTGCCATCAACCAACCCATAATCAATACATAATCAATACATAATCAATACATAATCAATACATAATCAAATGCATAATCAATATATAATCAAATACGTAACCGAAACATAATCAATGCATGATCAAAAGATAAACGAGTGATCAATGCATAAAGAAAGCATAATCATTGGATGATCAATGAATAGTCGACGAGTAATAATCAAGTTCTTTGAAACACTAGTCGCAGCGACAGTGCACAGAGAGGAGACAATACGCAACCACTCGTGTCAACATTCAATCTCTGCAAGAACGACTAGTCAGCTCAGCCAAAAAGCCTACGGATCGTAAAGCACCATCAACCAATGCATCATAAATGCATACCTTAAAAGGAAGGCGATGAAAGAACTAATCGCATAGCTATTCGAAAAACGGGATTTGAACCCGCGACTTCGGGCGTGACAGACAGGCACTCTAACCAACTGAGCTATTTTCCAGAACAAGGGGACACAACAATCGCCTCACCATTGCAGAGAAAGGGCCTCCGCTTCACTACTCACCAGATGCACAAAAGACAAAAAATATGGCGGTGTATCTTGCCATGTCCTAGCGGAAGATTCATTCTCAGGATGTACATTTGGTGAGTAGTGGAGCGAGGCCCAGAGGGAAAAGTACGATATAGCCGTCCCGCCGTTCACATCAGGGAACTCCAGGGAATCGATCACAGCAGCCTCCGATGACTGGACGAACGGCACCGTCTTTCCCCGAACACAACGCACCTTCATTGCGACCGTATCCGACCGGGAAAAGCTTGTGTATACATCCATAAGCAGGGCACGTTGTGTTCGGGGTAAGCCGGTAGTCACCGCGAATTTCCCGATAGCGGAGAGAAGCCAATCACCATAAAACGCTCTCGCATCAAGAAGAGAGAGGTGTAAGCTTCCAATTTTGGGAAGGACGATTCACCTCGACCTTCCCATATCAGGAAAAACAACAACAAAAAAGAAAAGGACGTAAACCCATATCAGAAAAACAACAACAAGAAAAACGACCTGCCATCTACAAACTGCGTAGTGAAGAGATGCAACCTTCTTTTAAAAAAACGGAAAAAAAAAAACAACACTGCCGAATTAAAGAGACGCAACCTTCTATTTCTGAGGAAGGAGAACTCGGCGACGGAAAAACAGAAGTTGGCCATAGGTAGCCACGAAATCCTGCAGGGGAAAGGACAGACCTTCGGCGACCTTGATGGCAGTGAGCAATTAGTTTTCCTGTTCGGTTCACAGGTAAGAACCAATTGTAAAGGACAGACCGGCGGCAACTTCGACGACACAGAGTACAATTTATTGACCTTGCTCCGCTTCACAACATTACATGCACTTGGACGCTTTCTGGACCAGGTGCATTCGGACGAGTCCAACATTTTCAATGTACAGAATCCAGAAACCGTTCAAATGCATGTAGAGTGCTGTGTAGCGGAGCGAGGTCCTATTTCCTGTTCAGTTCACAGGTAGGAGCCAAAAACCCTGTGGTGGGAAAGGACAGACAGGGTGTCACCTCAAATATCTGAAGTTCGCGGTGTTTCTGGCCAGAACTAGGAACGAATTGCCCGCTGGCGGCCTTGGATAATCTTGTTCTATTTGTCCACAATCCTTGTATTTCTTCTTATGCTTGCCGGGGATAAGCAACCGCACTGGTGACCTCCGAGAATAGAAGGGTCTCTCTCTCTCTCTCTCTAAAAAAAAATAAAAAAAATAAATAAATAAAAAACAGAATTACTTCATTGCCTGTTGTCGATCTGTCGCAGAGCTACTACCATGAAAATTTGAGGCCCGAAAAGAAAAAAAAAAGGAGCGGACGGCTACTCCCTCCGTCGGCGGTCGTCAACAGCCACATGATTTACGGTCGTGCTCACACAACCGTCTTCCGCTGAACACAACGCATCCTGATAGCGACTGTATACGAGCTATCTTTCAAACGCAGATACGGCCTCATTAGGTCTCCCCGTATTCCTAGACGGCAGGTGACCTACCGACTTTCCTGAACACAACGCAACCCCATCATAAATGTATGATAATGATCTGTATCTTATCAAAGTCTGATAATGCTATGATGAGTTTGGGAAGCGTCGGGTTCAGGGGGACGACAGTGGCTGTTTGTTTCATGTTCGGTTGACGTTCAACGTAAGAACAAAGGGCGATCATGAGAAAACAGTTTCTGACAAGCGAGCGATCCGGTTTTCGAAATCAGATAAATGGGAATAATGGATATTTCTGCCACCAGTACTTGAACCCAAACAAACAATGTACCATCATGACCACATTTCTTCACGTCACTATCTTCCCAAAATTGCAACCCCCCCACCTCTCTCTCTCTCTCTCTCTCTCTCTCTCTCTCTCTCTCTCTCTCTCTCTCTCTCTCTCTCTCTCTC